CGATTGCTGCCGTTGCTGCTGTTGCTGGTGATGCCGCTGCCGCTCGACCACCACTACGACGGCGACGACGACGACCAAGACGACGACTACCACTACTACTACTACTACTACTACTACTACTGCTGATGCTGCTGCTACTGCTGCTGCTACTACTACTACTACTACTACTACTACTAGCACCAACAACAACAGCAGCAACAACATCAGCAACAACAGAGCAAAATTAAGCATCATTGTTCTTCTTCTTGCTATTGCTATTGCTGTGGCTGTTGCTATTGCTACTTGTCAATTGCTAGTTCTATTGTTACTGTTCGTTATTGTAATGAATATCGATATTGTCATTGTCGTCGCCGTCGTCGTCGAGGTGTCGTCGTCATCGTCTTGGTTGTCGTTTCCTCACCAAAAAGAGTCCAAAAAGGTATATTGGAATGAGATGGCATTTCATTGCCCTTATCATTGTCTTTACTGTTATTATGGCTTTGTTTTCCCATCAGGCATTTCAAGAAGCCGCATCAACATTGTTTGAGTAAGGGCTTCAAAAAAGAGCTTAATGAAGGCTTGCTGTAGTGTCCATAAGAGATTCCTACGGCAGGAGGTTAATCCGGCCCTAAGATGGCTTTAATAAGCGGGAAATGATAACAATTTTAACGAGAAACCATTTCATTAGTGTGGTTTCCACCCGATTTCAGGAAGCGCGTAATATGCTTTTGAATAAGAGACGCTAATACGGGCCTACTATGGCTTGTATCAGAGCTTGGTATGGCCCGAATGAGTAGGCTTTAATTTAATACGGGCTTAATCTGGCCTTCATAAGGGCTCAATAAGAAAGCTGACTAGGAGCTTGATGTGGCTCGGTAGTGTCGTTGCTCAGCTGGTGCCCTTGTCAGTCAACCCGACCACCCGGATCGTCAGTGGGTTAGGCTCGGCCTCCCGAAGGACCTTCGAACGCCCACGCAGCCAGCTGAGAGTCTAACCCTGTCTACAGGGGATTCGAGTCCGCAAACTTCGCATGCTGAACGCATACTCCCCCCCTGCACCATACCTGTGGCTCTAGCACAGGCTTAATCATGATTCAAGGAGGGTTTTGCTATGGCGTTTATCTGATTTCATAAAAAGGGGCTTTCAGGACAACCATTTCCCTAGACTCCCTAGACTCCTCCCTTCCCAGGAAACAAGCAACGCAACAGTTTCCTTGCAAGTCTCACCACCCAAATAATGATGGTTTGTGGGTTCCCACTTTTACCCACTATGCTCATGTAGCCGCACGAGCATCCGGAGTGTCAAAGCATGCTGGAATTCAAAGTGACGGAAGGAAAGGCCAATCAGGAATGATCGAAGACGTAGCTTTCTTACGAGATGATAAAATAATAACAATAGTGACGCTGACCCAGTCCCCCTCCCCCACAATTGGAGTCCAGAGCTTGTCTCCAAAGCTCACCACCTAAATCATGATGATCTGCCCTCACCTCCCTGTCTCCTGTTTCCGCTCCCCCCCGCATGTCGAAAATCTTCTGCTTGCGGCCTCTGCCTTTCCCAGTGGAATCGACAGTCCCAGCACAAGCGCCAATTCGAGCATGAGTGCCTTCTGAAAGCTTTCGAGCCCTGGCCTTTGCGTCGTTGTTTTGTTTCGTTCCTCCGGGTGCAGACTGAGAGTTGGCATTTCTGTCGAGCCTGCTGGTAGAGGGTGGCGTGGCAGGTGATGTCGAAGAGAGGGTGCAACATATCCGAACACATCCCACAGATCCAGTGTTCTCCTCATCACTCAGGCAGAGTCGTTGAGCGCTGCTTCCGGTTTTGTCGTGGCCATCAAAGTGCTTGCAGCGATTCAGCACGTCCAACCGTCGAACCAAACGGCATCGTGGTGTGCTAGCGTGCGCTCATAGCAACTGCGAGCTCGCACTGCGTAGTGTTCAATCACAGTGTTACATAGGGAGCTGCGAACACATATCCGCACCTTCCACGGCCCATTGTCATTCCCGTGATGTGCATGCAGTAAACCCTGAATCGACAGTCGCCATGTAAATGCGTCAGTTCCATGCAGCACGGCATAGCCTCGCACATCCTCGCACGGTGGCTAACGAGGGCCCAACAAGCCTTTCTGCCATATTGCTTGCAGCAACGCCGTATTTAGACCTGAAGCGGCCAAGGTGGATCTCCAGCAGATGTTTGAGATGATCGACGCTGACGGTTCAGGTGCAATCGAGGCCGCTGAGTTCATTGCACCATTGAGCCGTTGGGTGCGCGACTCGAAGCCGCATGCCTGCATTAAGGCCGAAGGTTTGTCTGAAGGGTATTTTGTGTTGTTGCATGCGTTTTCTCTGGTTCTGCTGCTGCTGCTGCTGCTGCTGCTGCTGTGATTTGCAGTCTGTGCTTACCCGCCCTGGCTTGGTCTCGGTCAAGAGCATGACGCCACGCTGTCGTAGCAGAGGCTTTGGGCACGCACGTCTACGACTCTGAGTGAGAGCAAGTAACTGACGTCGACAGATGCTGACGAGTCAGTTGTGTTCAACGGGCCAAAGGCCGAAATCCGAGGACTGCACCGCGCTTCATCAAGTACAATCTTCAGCATCTTTGCTTCAACATCACAAAGATTCAAGATGGTGAGTGTTTCGTTGCCGCCGTTGGAGCCTCATTTCCGGCGACGTGCTCTGAACAGTGTTCCCACAGGCCCGAAAAAGCTGAGGCAAACTATGCAGACGCAGGAAGAGCTTTTAAAGATGTCGCAATACGGCTTCTGAGAACGCATTTTGACTTTTTGCTTCTCTCGGTGACGACGTGGATGACGCAGCTTCAATTGGTCGTGTCCGCACGCTCGTGCAGACACTACTGTTGAAGCTGAAGCCTGTCAGGGCCTGACAAGCATGGACAGGAGTCCTGTCCAGGCATCGGCCCCGAAATTTGATCGCAGCGGCACACGGGGCCATAGGGGGCCGCAAAAGGTTCTCGCTGAGAACGTATGTGTTTCGCAAACCTGCAACAAGCATGCACCTTTGGGCTAATTAGGTGCAGGCATGTCAAGTTGTTTGACGTTTGGCTACTGGCCTCCGATTGTACGCTTGTAGCGGGATTTTATTGGCGCTCAACATCTGCTTTTCATTCCTCGCAGTTGCTAGGTCTCTCCATCTGTGAACAGTGTTGATGCGAGTCGATCTGCACATGAGGAAAGTGGGGTGGGTATGAGATTTCACGAGACTAATAGGCGGGTGGGGCGCGTTTGGGGGGCCCTTGGGGTCGGGCCCCTCGCATGTGCTTCATGACAGACGCGGGGGGCCGACAAGTTTCGAAGTAAGACCAAAAAACATTGCAAGCTGCGTACATGTAGGAGGCCCTGCCTTGTGTCAGAATCGAAAACGCGGTGCTGTGTGGATCCTCTCATGTGGTCAGCAGCCCAAACCTGTCGCTGAATCTGTTATGTTGCCAGGTTTCGCCGTCATGAATCAAAGGATCGAGGAGTTGTCCGAGACTCTGAGAGGTATGGACCTCGATTCTCGTGGAGCCAAGTCCGCTTCCCCGGGCTCTTCCGCAAAGCCAACGGCAGGTGAATTTTTCGAGCCACACGCGCAGGTTGGTCCGGACGACGAATCAGATCTGTTTGATTTGGATGGAATCCCTGACGGCCAAAACCTAGAACAGCCTCACGAAAGTGCACGGAAGTCTTCAAGATGCTCAGCAGGCGAAGTGCGTAGACATGCCGGTGTGCATTCTGCAGGGTTGGAATCTGCGCAGACGCCTGGATCTGATGGTTATCTCAGAAATGTGCTACGGGAGACCATGTTTGCTCTGGAAAGCTCATTGTCTAAAGCTACTGATCTGGCGCTGAAGCAATCCTTGCGTGTTGCGGAGCAAGTTCTCCAAGATCATTTGTCCGGCCACGATCAGAGTGAGCACCGCTCTTCCCGCCGGTCTTCCCGCCACTGGGGACAAACCACTTCAATTTCAACGTTTTCTATGACGTCTTTGGCATCTATCGAAGACCAATTGTTGGAGATCCAGGCCCAGGCTGTACAACGTCAAGCTTCACGCCGCAACAGTGTCACAAACAAGCTGTGGACAGACTTTTAGATCTGATGGTTTGGTGGGTGTCACAATTGTCAGTCGTGAGATTGCCGAATCCGCGCTCACAACACGTGTCCGCTGGATTCCCTTTGTCAAGCACTCTTCTGTGTCGCAGCTACAGCGCTGTGGCTTGCTCCAAGAGTCTTCACGTCACCATCGAGTTTCACAAAGGCTGCACGAGACTACTCGATGCCAACCTCTGCATCAATAGATTGAAGTCTTGAGACCACACTTGCAGCTGGGTACACGCCATCATCAGGGCTCTGAGCTTTGATGTTTCGCTTGTGCTCAGGTATGGCTTCTACCTGCACGTCTATGCAGATCCAGCTGCGGTAATCTACCAGGCAACTAGCCTATCCGAGTAAAATCTGAGCGAAAGCAAGGTACACGGCATTCACTATGCCACTATGCAGACATGCTGTCAGGTCCGGCAAGTGAAAAAGTTCTTCTTGGACTCACCGTTGCCTCATTGCATTAGCCACTTATGCACATGGCAGCTTTATCAACATGATCTCATCACAGTACTTCTTTCGTCTACAGCACCTCCCCGTGGTAAGACAAAGTCATGTGCATGTCAGCAACGATTGATCGAGAGTGTTCCGGTGTTCGGTGCGCCAAGAATCTATGTGATGAGCGATGGCGGTTTGGACTTCACGACCCTGTGCAAGGAGGTCAGACTGAAATCGCGACTAGAGAAGTTTTGCCGGCTTCCGTTTCATTCGTCACTGGCCACTGGTTTCGCTGTTTCTGGAGTGCCACCTTCACAGTAAGCCAGGGTGCCTTCTGTAATGTGCTTCAGCACCAGTCAGGGCAAACGGAATTTGGTCATTGGCATCCCAGATCCCAGGGCCTTCTTGAAGGAGCCTGTACGAGATGTACGTATGGCTGGGTTTGGAGGAAACCGCAATTTCGATGTTGTCTTTTTTTTGCGGCCTCATGGGGTCATGCAGTCTGTTTTGCAACCCCTGAGTGCCACCACACAGGATCATAAACAAGGTGGGCTGGACGAACTTGCACGGGCTGCAAGGTTTTCCAGCTCACCATGGCTGCAAAGCCAAACATGAACTTGGCTGCTTTCCTGCCTGCGTCGGGATACACGTCCTGCAGTCAGGGAGACAAGCTGTTCGGGCCAGTCCGGGGTCCATTGCCAGGAGGGCTGCACGTTTGTGCTCTGCCCACCGGCGACGCTTGCTTGACATGAATCGGAGGACTTCAGAATTCTTCAGGCCAAGGCACATGCAAGGGAGCCTTGAGCTTCCAAATCGTTTTCAGGTCATGTGCAATGTGCGCTGCTTTTGGTTGGGGTTGGGGCTGAGCAGAGGGCATTTCAGATCTCAGAGCCTCCATAAGGAACGATCGCTGGCATCCTTGGCCATTTTTTCGCAGACTTTGGGATGCAGCCAACAGCTCCTCGCTTGAGAGCTAGAAGTTCATTGCAACGGTTTAGTCGACGGGTCCGGTGTTGCTCGGGTGAAATTGGCGAAAGGCTGGGTCCCTTGGTAAGGTTGCCAGGGCGAGGGGTGATGCCAAGCTTCAGGCATTGCTCCACATGCCAAGGGCATACTGTTAGAGTCTTCGCAGCTACACGGGCTGTACGAGAAATGCAATCTTGTCCGTAGCCTTGCTGCCGGTGCTATATGTGCGTGCATACCCAGCTTGGTATCTTGGTGGGGGAAGAGCATTCAGCTGCCCCCGGGCCCACGTTTTCCCATGTGGAGTGATCTGCCAGACGGATCCTTTGGTCCATGATTTCTTGCTACATGAGTGGGGAACTCGGGGTGGGTGAAGACAGAAACCGAACCTGTCTTCTTGTGCATACGGGGAAACCACACACTGCATGAGCAACTCGGAGAGTGAAACTGAAGCAATAAGAGTATGCTATTGGTAACAACGCAGGGCTGCACATGTTTCTTCGCTCTTGGAGAAACTCGGGAGGTGGACAAACGTGTTTTCAAGTGTTTTCCTGAACGATAGCAGGGCACATACAGCTGCACAGGTCTTCGATTTATCAGTAAAAGAAGTTGTAGCCTTCGGAGCAGAGAACACTGCTACCGGAACTCCTACAAAGCACAGCATCTGGAGCCAGAGAACGGTCGGAAGAGCTGCACATCATAGCATTTACAGCATGAAGACAAAACCAGATGCTGTGAAACATAACATTTGGGCAACTCCCAGCAAGCTCCTCCGCCCGTCATGGACCGGCTTGTTTCAAGTCGGTGCTGCACATGCTTACAAGCTGTCACCAACATGATGAGGCTTGCGCATCACGGTATCACGTTTGCGCACATCCGGCGCTGAGCACAAATGGAAGGTTTTGCAGTGCACCAGCCGGTCTCAGAATCGGGCTGTAAGTTGTTGCTTGGCAGGTGATCGAAGCCGAAGTTTAGAAGCCCTTCCAAGGGCATGGAAACGCCACGAGGGCTCTGCCGGAAGCAACGCTATGTAGCTCTTGCTCTTGTAGTTGAACGGTTTTATAATATGTTTTAGTCCGGGATGTCGCGGTCTTATCGAGCACAAACAGCGCCTTTTTGGCATCTTTTGGAAAAGAGGGTGGTTGTGTGTGGGTTGCGGTGCTCTCCGCTCGTCGGTGCTGGTGACGGTGTCAGTGCGGGTGTAAGGATGACCATCGCGGCATCGTCATGATGAAGATGGGGAGGAGGATAAAGCTTGCGCTGGGACCCGTCTATAGGGACGAATCTGTTAGAGAGGGGCTGGGTTTTGTTTGGCGCTCCGTCGGGTTTTTTTGGGTACTTCGCAAAGGCCCTTTCTGCACCCTGGGTGGCCGTTGCGGTCCGCACGTCTTTGAGCAAGCGTGGTTGGAGTCCAGGGACAGTCTTCAGGGTTGTCTGTTCGTGCACCAATGTGGACAGGGCAAAAAAACCCGTCCCCGCTCGGGGCGAAAATCTACCCCTCGGCCAGACACGGAGGACCAAAGAAATCCCTCTCCTCACCGGGCCGGGCTTTAAATAACCCTTGTGCGGCCCGAATCCAGACTCCCGGGGCCCGAGAGGTTCCGGAAAACCCTCCTGACCCAGCGGCGGGCTTTAACAGGTCACTTTATGTAGCCCTTGTCACCAAAAGGTCCTAACTAGTGCCCTCCCCAACCGGCAAGAGGGTTTCAATCGACCCCTGTGGGGGGCTTCATATTCATACGACCCCTGAGGCAGCAGGAACAGACGAAGGTTTAAGGGGAGCAAACAACAACGTGAGAGGCCACGCAGGGCTTTTTTCATGGCGCGGGAAGGCTTGAGCTGGACGTGCCGGTTTTGCCCGGGTCCTTGCGCTAACTGTCGCTAACTTCTGCGCGCGCACAGAGGCAGTCAGGTAGAGTCGTATGCACAGGCATGCACTGCCAGACGTGTGCGGGGGTGTGCGTGTGACCTTGTTGTTCCTGTTCATCAAGATGTGGGGCTCGAGCAAGCTGCGTCTCGCTCATTCGGTGGCTTTGGACGCCATGGGACATCAGCATGGAGTGCCAATATAAAGCTAGTGCGAAACTCTTCTGGCACTTTTTGTGAAAGCTTACAAACCTAAAGTTCAAACCTTTGAACTCACTCGTCAAAACCTCAAAACACTTAAACTCGAAAACGCCTGGCAAAACCTGCAAGTAAACTCTGAACCGTAAACGCCGAACCGATAAAACCCCTAAGAGAACCCGCCCAGAGCATCTCGAGGAAGGCGTGGACGAGATCACTACGCAGCGAGAGTTGGCCCGGATCTGCACGGGTGCGAAGATCCCTGAATAACGGGCCCCAAAATCCTGTTCTAATGATTAAGGCCCTTATACTAGCACTCCACCAACAGCAAGTATCGGAGGCTATTTTGTGGCCATCACATGCTGCATCTGCATGATGACCTGGCTCTTTGGCGTCGTGTGGTGGCAGGTCTTGTAGCCAACCTGCCGATGCCGACCTCGCCGTGGGCATCATCATCGGCATGGGTATGACGCTTCTTTCGACAGAAAGGGCCTCACTTCTATGGTTCTTCACACCATAGGGTGTAGTTTCGGACCCACCGAGGCTTTCTTCGCCCGTTCGCACCGTGGTTGTTGGAGTTGGATCAGGTTGGACCGTGCGGTTAAAGAACATTAAGTCTGGTGCATCCACCGCGGGAAATCCGGAACCGATACCTGAAACCCCAAGTCCCGCCCTGAAACTCCAAACTTCAGACTCCGAGCCGTAAGCGAAAAGGGTGGCCGCCTTTGTGCAAGAAAGCCGAGGACCGATTGGAACGTCTCCAGCAGCTGCGGCAAGCTGACGATGTTTCCGCTGGGCATGCTGAGTCACGGCGGCTCCGTCATCCCGCTAGCTGGATTTCATGATTTAAGGTGTGGAGGACAGGGCGGGTTAGTCTAAGAGAGGTACGCTGTTGGGGCCTGAAGCTTGGGGTTCAAGCTGCGGATTACGTTTCGCAATTCGGGATTCAATCCCTGTTGTCGGGGTCTTGGCATCATGTTCGCTGACGAACTCAATTGCGAAGCTCTCTGGGGTAGGCAGTTGCTGCGGTGTTGCACTAGTCCGCTGCATCAAGATGAGGAGTTGGACGCGTGCACGCGCGCAGTTTCGCCGCGAGCCACAAACCCCGAGGTTACAGTCTCGAAACTCCGAGAGGCCTATGTCCAGAATCCCGAGCCTATGCCCCAAACCTTACTCTCCCGAGACTCCTAAGCCGAATCCCCACATTACGGAGTTCAAGCACATAAATTATTCTACACCCTAAACCCTAAACCCTAAACTATGGGGCTCGGAAAAAAACTTTGGGGCTCTCCTACCGCAGACATGCAGTCGGAAAAAGGTATCCAAAAAACCCTGAACAATCTGCGTGTTAGTCGTGGGGAGTCTTGTAGTTCGTCTTTTTCTTGCGAGAGCGGCGTTCTATAATGGCTCTGTTCAGCGAATGTGCATATCACGCGACATGCGAGGTGTGAAAGGCAAATCGTCGTCTTGCTCTCTGATTTCAGTGGGTCCTGCTTCCATGGATGGTTTCGCAGAACCGCTCGCGGACTGGCTTCTGGTTTAGTTTTTCCGCGCGGCAGAGTTTATTTCGAACGTTTCCGTGGACGCAGACCAGAAGCTTTGGTAGCGCAAAGCAAGCGCGCACGGCGGCCCAAACAAGGGAAAGAAGTCGTACTTCTCAGCACTGGGGCACTGCGTCGAGGCTAAAACCATGGCAACAATTAAATCGTATTTCCTAGCACGGGGGCACCGGTTCGAAGGCAAAACAACGGTAACAACTCCTACTTCTTAGCAGTGGGGCACCGCTTTGAGGCCAAAACAACGGCAACAAATCGTACTTCTTGGCACTGGGGCACCGCTTCGAGACCAAACCAACGGCCACAAATCGTACTTCTTAGCACCGGGGCACTGCATCGTGGACAGGACAGCGGCAAGAAATCGTACTTCTTAGCACTGGAGCACGGCTTCGAGGCCAAAACAACGGCAACATATCGCCCTCGTATGCCGAACCAGCGACGCCGGAAGCCAAGTGTGATCATCGACTATGGAACCTTGTAAGCCCGAGACCGGGATTGAACATGAAACGCTGCAACGTGCAGTGCACGCGCACCGTTCAAAGGAGGAAGTAGTGGGTGTTACAGGTTTGCATGGCAGGCGCAGCACTTTCAGGCTTTAGATCATTGGAAAGTGAAGGAATTTCAGGCACCGAAACGAGACTAGATGAGAATTGGTTGTAAATGCGCTCCGGCTTGGGTTTTGGAAACATCGAGACGGTCAAGTACAGGTGTTTACTGAGCAGTCGCTGCTTCGCACATGTTTTGCCTGCGAGGAACTCGCAGCTTGACCCAGTCCTTGTTCCTTTGCAGGGCTCAGGAAGTCTTGGGGGCCATGCCCCAGCTCACGCACACGGTCGTTTCTGTAGAGAGCCAATGCTTTGAGCCCGGTCCAGTAGCCTGGCTCCCGTTCAAGACGTTGTTTGGCAAGACAGCATGGCACATGGATGCTCTACGGGAATGGATATGGTCTGATCTGGACGTTCTCATGGTTGATGCTCTGCGGGAATGGATATGGTCTGACCTGGACGTTATCAGAGTTGGCACATGGATGCTCTGCGGACCCCTTAACTAAAGAATATACCTTAAATCATAAACATTATAAGGCACCTATAATTTAAGGTATATTCCTTTATTAAGCGGTATTGGGCTCTCGGGGTCCGGGTTGCTCATCATGCTGCAATCCGCAGGCGAGTCTGATCACACGTCCTCGTCCTCACGTCTCCTCAGCGCTCCTTCAATGGCCGATCCCGGTTGATCCGGTAGCTTGATGTCGCCTCCTCGCTTAGCAACCCCGATTCAACACATACCTTACACACCCACCCTCCTTTGTCGAGATTCCGCTTCGGCACTGGTCAGAAACACGCCCCGTCGTCAGAGGCTCGTGCCACCTCTGGC